AAGCGAGAACGAGAGGGAAGTCTTGAGACGGAAATGGAATGGACTAAAAAAAGCATTGGGTTAAGATGAAAGGAATATCTGACATCCTTTACTTTCTAATCAATTTCTATCCTACTTGATTTAATTTTCCGTCCATCCATTTAATTCAGTTCAATTCCATCTCTATTTAGTATTTATAGTCAATTTTTTTTTGATACTTATACCCAGGCTTTATTATTAGGTTTGATCTTTGAAATTCGGGTGGAAAATTGTTTTGTAAATTGTTGCTCTTTAGAGGTTAAAGTGGGCATTATTGGACTTTTTGAGACCGGTGTACATTTTTTATTGATAGTTTACAACTTTTTTATCGTTTTTCTTTTTAATTAACCATTTTCTTTTAAATTATTGTCAATTTTTATCAAAAGTAAATTAGTTTTTCTTCTAATTTATAATTATTGAATAAAATAATCTGATTAAAGATTCATCACGAAGTTGGTAAACGAATTTCAAGGCCGATATCACGTGACTACAAATATTTTAATATCTGAAAAATCATAGCGATAGTAACATCAATCATTTTTCTTTTTTTTTCTTGTTATTTTATTTTAGGAACTAAATTCGTTTGTGAATGAATTTAATTTATATTTTTTTATCTATATACACTGTGTTGTTGATTTGCGTAAAAGAACATGACGAGCCAGTTCTACGAATTTGAGGGTCTAAATGTTTTCCTGCCTTTGCTAGCACGCAATCAAACAGATATCTATATTTGAATTGGAATCGAGAACTGAAATAATTGGTATTGAAAATGACTACATAGCTAACATACACTATAATCTCTGCATTTTGTAGAAGAGCTTCGCTTCGAGAACAAAGGCCTGATTTTCAGGTCTGAATAATCATTATTACTTACCATTATTGATATGCTAAAAAATATGGATGCGTTCTAATTTATATGATGATCACTTATAGATAAAACTTGAATATATTTTTTTATTCCTTCCTTATATACTTTATGATCTTCCTTTATATCCTTTCGCTTTTTATATAAGTAACGAAAGAAAGATTATCAACCACCCCATCATATCATTATAAGCGGTGTGCTATCTTTCTCTTGCCAATTTATCTTAATTTTTTAATATCCTTACCTATTTTTCGTTAATTAACCCGAACGAAAAGCTTGTGTTAAGGGCAAACATACATATGAGCAAGGTTCTTTTTCCTTGTTTCATATCATTATATACCCTTGGGAAGGTCTGAGAAAAACCACAGTTCGTCTCTAGCTGGGGACTCTTGCGAGAGTGAGAGGTGAATCACCAGAAACGATACCCTCTTAGTCTGGTACTTGAAATCCTATTAGGATGGATTGCACCTGGGTTAGGAAATGGTTGAAACGGGTTCACCGGTGGTAGCGCTATGAAGTGCAATACGCAAGACATCACATTGTGATGCAACTCAATTCAGACTACTCTTTCGTTCGGGTTGGATTTTTCTTTTATATACATCCTATTTCTATTCCTCGAACGAAAAGCTTGTGTTAAGGGTAAACATACATATGAGCAAGGTTCTCTTTCCTTGTTTCATATCCCATTATATGCCCTTGGGAAGGTCTGAGAAAAACCACAGTTCGTCTCTAGCTGGGGACTCTTACGAGAGTGAGAGGTGAATCACCAGAAACGATACCCTCCTAGTCTGGTATTTGAAATCCTATTAGGATGGATTGCACCTGGGTTAGGAAATGGTTGAAACGGGTTCACCGGTGGTAGCGCTATGAAG